AAACAAACCCCTAATCTGTGAAAACAAAATAAGAGTTTTATATATAACTAAATTTTTGGGAATTTCAGCAGCTTCATTGAACCCGGAATCTCACAATGAGAACGTTAGCAAACTACACACTTCATAACGGAGTAGCTGATCAGACAGGTTAATTGTTCACATACGACAAAGCATAACCCATCTTTGCCAGATCTCGTTTGTTTTCAATGTCTGCAGCGTTTGGTTTAAGTAGGAGTATGCTGGAGTATCGTTGAGATATCGGTTTCAATCCCCAGGTTATTTGACGGAATCGTACCATTAATAGGATGCAATAAGGATGAATAGATGTGTGTTGTACCATAGGTTTTCTTTGCGCGATTTCTTAGCTCTGCACATAAATAGTTTATGGTATCGACCATTCTCGTACAAATCTGTAACTCTAATGGGACTTCTGGGGATCAGAGATTTTGAACTTACGTTTCTGTTCCTCTTTGAGCGATGAAATATAATTGTTTTGTTGTGTTTTACAACAATTGTGTAATCATAATTGCGAAAACACACTTGCAATCACGCTTCTCAATGCGTTTTATCTACGATTGCTTTATTTCACATTCCCCAAATTATATAATCTTACGTTTTTTACCTTTAGGAAAGTGGACCGTTCTCTTTGGACTCGTAAGTTTCCCTTGGCATTTTCGTTCTTTTCTATTTTGAGTCCCCTTTTAGAATATATTTCCACCGTTACTGAGTCTGTCGTGGTAAATTACATGCACAATGGAAAGTCATTTCACCTGTGGTTCAGCCAGTTTTTCTACCATAAACGAAGGCAAATAAAATCGAAGCGTTTTGTATTTACAATTTTACTTTGAATCTTGGTTTAACTACCGCTCGTTCCACCCCAATACTTGCCCTACACACCCAAACCATTACGGAATCGGTTCGTATTCGTTTGTTCACATCCAACCTATGTGCACACTAGAGAATGAGGAATTCCATTCAACTACCATTGCCGAAGATTGATCGCACGAATGACGCATTGCAACCTGATTGTATGGTTCCAGTGTACGAACAGAGTGAAATATGTCTCACCATTATCCCAATCCTCCCGCCTCCAACCAATCACTGGTTACTGGCTTCATAAACCGCAACTGAATCACTGTCACCTTCGACCAACTGGGAGTTTACCCTCTTAACTTGTCAATTCCTCATATGCTATGTACATTCTAGAAGATGAATCATTGGAAACAATTGATATCCTTTGAATGTGCCTACTTAATTGACGGCGGCTGGCACCTGGAAGAGGATAAGCAGGTTTCATGGATATCCCAAACATCTGCTGTCTTTGCTTTTCGGTTTGCGGAAGAATTAGTCACATTTTGATCCAGCTTGTCTCCCCCCCCCCATTTTCGATCGCCGGAGATCGAGGTTTTCTCTATCTTTGCGTATCGTATTTAACCAGGTTTTCCACTAGCTGCCGTGCCGACAGCGCCAGTTCAGGCAGGGAGACGGTACCAACGCAGATTTCGTCTGGTTGTTATCAGATTGACGAAGTATGTGACCAAAACATTTTCGTTACCACCGCTGCATTATCATCCGCAGTCATACATGATTAATACACCAGTTGGTGATTGCTTCATTTGGAAGCTGGTCCTTCATCCTATCCCCAGAATGATTCTTAGGTACCAGTGATCGAAGAATTCTAATTACAACAAGACTGAAACGACTGTGGCTAAAACTCCTAGTGTTGTCTTTAGGCTGATTTCAGTTCTGTGCCCAAGGGACTTCTACCACTGTAGAAATGCCTTTCTTACGGCATCGACGCACACTTGTACCTCGTATATATATATTGGCCGTTTGATATTATTTTTGGAACCAAGTATATAAAGCTTTCAACGAATTCGATTGGTTCGGCGTTTAGTGGTGAAGCATCTTTTGGAAGAATTAGGACTCTCGCAAAGGTTTCGGTTTTTGGTTTCTTCACCACAATATCATCAACGAATTCTGAGTCAATGAGCCAGAAGATCGGAAAGATCTGTTTTTCCCGGTATCCCTCCATGCGGATTCGGGCAATATGGTGATGGAGTGGTAGAATCTAATGAGGTTAACAATATATATATATAATAACCAAGAATTGTCGTCTTTGGCAGTTTTGTTAAGAGCCTTTTTTATTTATTTATCTCCCGACTTTTTGATATCCATGGTCTTCCTTGATATTTTCTCAGATCCCGGGCAACAGACAGACATGCAACGTTCTACACAAGCATAGACAGTATGCCTGATATACGATTACGCAAAAAGCCGATTGCTCTCGTCAGTGATTTGGTAGGTCTTTATTTACCAAATTTTATTGTAAATTGAATTTGATCAGAAAAGATGGTTAAAGAATTATTTTATTTGTCTTTCAAATCATCAACTTGTTTGTATGAATTGAAACGGCTTTGAGGCTTTAATGCTTCGATCTTGTCTAATCCAAGGTATTCGTGATGTCAATAATCCATACGAAATGTATACAAGGTTATCCATCCAAATACGAATCTTCAGAAATTACTCAAAGTTCAACCTTCACTGTTCGTTAACTGGCTTCTTTGTCTCCCTCTCCCTCTGCGAACATGTTCGTAGTCATCACACTAATTCTACCTTGTTTCCTACATAGATGATTTCATTATCTAATCTACACTAGGCATTCCATTTGATGAAGAGTGCCAGTCATTGTCGGTAAAGTTTTGCACTGAACAAGACCACTATTATCACCAGAAAATAACTTTAATATTGCTGAGTTTGAAGAGCTGTCTGAGGCGGAAACCTTGTCTCTAGGTTCTTTTTTTGTAACATACTCTGTGCAGCTGTCACTTTTGAAATAACTACCATCTTTAAAAAGCATACGAGCAAAGCGAAACTACCCAGTTTATGTCAACTTCACCAAGTTGCACAAAATGTCGTTAGCGAACCGCATCTTGCGGCATTCTCTGGTGAGAGCATATGCCTAGGATCATGAATTTGGAATTTTGGTATCTAGTGTTCTTCCGTTATTTTCGGCTAGTGCCAATTCGAACTCTGATCTATCAAAGTCGACTACTATCCCGAATGATGTGCCTGGAAGGTATGCTATGTTTCTTGTGCACTTTCCGTCCACCAGCACTCACATATAGCTTTTTTCTGGAGGATGCTTTTTCACATGCCATTGAGCAGGTTTCGAATGATAAACTATTTATGAAAGCAAGCTCGCTAAATCCATTGAGTTAAAGTTCCGATTCAGACTTTACGTCTGCTCCAACAGGTGAACGTTTCATAGCTGACAGTTGTCTGATAGAGATAGAACAGTGATAGAAATTGGCGCCCAGTTACGCAGGTTCAAATGTAGGTACGGTTGAGGTAAGAACTCATTAACCATAGCAAGAGCCTTTCAGAAGATTCATGCAGTATTTTAGTCTGCTCTACGAAGAACAATTTGAATTTGAAAGCATTGATCCCCGCCTGGGTTAGATGAATAGTATGGAAATAGATAACTTTCATCTATTCAATCATCGATGTAACAGTATCGTTTGCTTTTTGATATTCTCTTAGTGTTTGAAAAATATCAATAATTTGCATTTGACCATGTGATTTGGGTTGCCTGCTTTTCAGTACAAATATAATTCTATGGGTAGACATGATGGTTTTATTATTAATGGACCTAGAATACATCTAATGTCGCGAAGTTATTCTATTTTACAGTTATTATATTCAAAATATGGTTCCTAAAATTCCCTTCTCATGATGGTGTTTACACCTCATCAACTTACATTTGATTTATGTTACGTTTAGTTTCTTCAGCTGAAAGCTGCTAATTTTAACCGAGAACCCCCTGCCCCGTTGTTCACCCTTTATAATGCACTTTTAATTTCGCTTTTCACTTGATCACCGGGCGAGTCTCACAAACTGTTTTCGACATCCCTTTAAACAGGTCATTCAGGTGAGTTCTTTTGTGTATGTTCAAATTAGTATGAAGATCGCATTGCTTCCTATTCAATCTCACCCATTCTGGATTATACACAACTGTGCAGACTACCTATATAGGAAGCGATCTAGAATCTGTGTCAGCTATCACACGAATACGTTTCTGAATCCTACCCCTGCGGCATTATCTTTAACTGAGCGATAGGGCTCTTGTTTTTCAATGCATTCATCTTTCCTGACCTTTGCTCACGACAGCAAGTCAACTGAATGGCTTTTGTTTTCCTCTACAAGCGGTCAGCCGAACAATCCCCTTCGCATGAGGACGTCGAGGTCATTTGAAAGTACCACCTGCCATTTATAAGCTTACGTTTATCCATTTGTAATCCTTTGTCCTAAAACATCTTGCGCTTGATCGTGCCTTGTCGAGTGTGACAGCTAAATGCACAAGCGAAGAATAACAGAAGTTGCGTAAAAATTATCTATCAACACAAATATGGCCATGGGTTTTATGCTTTAACGAATGTTTCTATTGTATCTGAACCAACGATTATCTATTCATTGATTTGTGTACACATGTATGTCTTCCAGAAGATATTGAACGGAATGAGTTGGTTGTTTGCTTGCTTTTTGAACTCGCTGGTCAGAGGATTTGAAAACACCAGACAGTTTGTCGGTAAGAATCAACGTTAAAACGAGTACTTGCAACACGCGATACCAAGAGGGAGGTATATGTTGACGGAGCTTTCTGTAAAGTACACCTCCATAATTGATTGAGCAAAATGCGTCCGTAAAAACCATTGGTCTTGAAAAGCGGTATTTTGCATCTGAATTAGTGAACATTTATTAAACTTTATCTCCGTGGTTACTTCCACGGTTTTTCTCCATGTGAGTTTCATCGTGTTTACTGTTTTGCAGAAATAGCAGTTATGACAACTTAGGTTACTGGGTATACCGGTTGATAAATTTATATTTGATTAATCGCATTTTTGAATATCTGTTCTCAAAAGAATCGTCCACGCCCATCCTCTCCTTTGCATGTTGTTATTTGTTGAATGCGTATTTTTCATTATTCTATTGTGTAGACCATGGCCGTGCAGAAGCGAAATATGGGTACAGCTAGCGCAAATCTGATTACTCGGCAGTCCATTAACGACGAAGAGCTGGTAAGCGCCTGTCTGATCACTCATTCATTATCCGTTCTGTCTATTTCCAATTCTTTCTCTGATTTTATCTGTCCGACTCTCTATTTATCTCTGCGCGTCGAATTCCTTAATTATCCGGAATAGAAGAACAATAACCATGCAGGACAGTGTTCAATGCTTTGTTAGACCCAAGCGGCCATGCGCAATTAGCTAATGCTCTTCAATAACCCTTTTCGGCAATCAGAAGCAATTTTGGATTGACCATTTAAGATCGGATATGAACTTTAACAAAGATGGAGATAATAAGCGAATCATAATAAACAATCAATGAATCATATCTTATATTCACTTTCCGCCCATCACATTACAGACGTTTTTTTCTTTTCACGTGTACGTATTTGATAAAGTCTTTCACATTAGTAAAAATGTGAGAATAGTATGTGTCCGTTATCTGTGTAAATCTATTTGTTTTGATTGACTGCAAGAGACCAGTTGAGGGATATCCGCTAAAAATAGTTTTAACACCTACCACTTGAGGAGCAAAACAATTCTGTTAAGGATAAAAGCAAATTGCTTCACACTACTTCAATCCAATCACACTAAGATTGAATTTAAGCGTTTTACATATGACTTCACAATGACTGTTATGATCCAACAGCTAGGATATGCACCATATTCGTGTATTGCATGAATCAGAGAATTAATGTCGAACGAAGTTTGCTTACATGCACATCTAAAGTCGTTAGTTAAACATTCAGTTGTCAAATAATCGAAACGGGATTATTCTGTTTTGCGTACTCGATCAATCTCCATTGGAAGTCTGTTCAACAAATTTCAATATGAATTTGCCCCATATTATCTTCTTTAAATTTGTCTCTTTGATCTTCACGCAGAAACAACATGTGTACAAGAAAACGTTACAAGCCCTATTGTACCCAATATCCAGCAATACGCCCCACAAATTTCAAGTATGGTCAGCTACCAGCCCGACTTACTGTTATGAGTGCGAGGGCCTGCTCTGGGGTTTGGCACGGCAAGGTTTGCGTTGTACGGAATGTGGAGTGAAGTGTCACGATAAGTGTCGTGAACTGCTCAATGCGGATTGTCTTCAAAGTAAGCCTTGTGGGTGATATTTAACATCATTCCGTTGTGTTATGTTCACTACAAGCATTGCCTTTACAAGTATGATTGATACACCTTTCGTTGTCGTTTATTTTCCCCCCTCCGTCCCTAAAGGAGCGGCGGAAAAATCATCCAAACAAGGGGCCGAGGATAAGGCACAGAGTATTATTCAGGCTATGACTGCTCTGATGCGTCAGCGGATCAGCGAAATGCCAGAAATGTTCGATCTTGTGGGTGATGTGTTTAAAGTGGACAAGAAGACACATGAACGGAATCTAACCCAAGCGCAACAGAGTATCTTAGATGGGACCAGTAAATGGTCAGCGAAAATTGCAATCACAGGCAAGTGGTTAGCTGTGACCTTGTTTACTAACCGTATATATGAAGGAGTTTTGGTTAATCACTATGATAGGTCAAATTTTACATCGCTGTTTGATTTCTGTTTCACGCTGTGCAAAGTCGGACATTGAAAATGTTTTACAGTAGCCTCAGTGTCAGAAGAAGAGAATTCGAAGATCTGATTATCAATCTTAAGTGTATTCCTTCGTCATAATCTAATATATTTGCACCAGCTTTTGCAAATAATCTACATACTTTCAAAATAGCATTTTTAGTGCACTTTGGAAAAAAGGTAACAGTTATTATGATGTGTGGTAGTGCTGGTTTTTTCAGTTAATTGAATTGGTTACTGGTGAGTTCGTTTTACTGAGATCGATTGATTGTTTTTCGAGGTGTGGTAATATTCTGTCGCACTTTGGTAACCTGGTTTCTCCACGTCCTGTAAATACCTCCATTCCCTTTCCATACCGCCCCCTGTTCACTTTAGTCAAATGTGCCCAAGGTCTGATCGGGAAAGACAAGACGGGCACCAGTGATCCGTATGTGACTGTGCAAGTGGGCAAAGTTAAGAAACGGACGAAAACCGTTCCCCAGGAACTTAACCCTGTTTGGAACGAGAAGTTCTATTTGTGAGTCGTATGCATATTTCGACATGATATTTTCACAATCGCCATGATCCTATGTCATTGAATAGCTTCCCTAATCAACAAACATATATCATAAACAAAGAATGACGTAAGCAATTGTGTGCAGATTAAAACGTTATTTACCAGTTCCATAAACAATGCCAAAGAAATTAATAGTGTGCTTTGGCATAACAATTTGGAATTCGTTGTTTACAATGGTCCGCTCGCTCATTCAACATGCAGGTATAAATGATAACCGCTGAGGGTTTTTCGTCACGCTTGTCAGTGAGGAGTTTGCTGTCTCCACCATTCACATTGAACCACAGATTTTGGTCATCCTCATAAATAATCCAAGAGTAATTCTCCTTTTAAATTTATTCTCTCTCAGAGAAAAGCAAAAAGATTGGAAAATGTATGATCCCTAACAGATTGCCTAGCAAATTCCACTAACAGTCGCCACACAATTCGGGTTTTAATATGTAAAACGATTCATGCGATTAACAATAATGACAAGGGAACCACGAAATTTTAATTAGAAAAACTCCGCGCTGAAAGCAGCGCAAATCCAAAGGAGAAACTCTATGCTATTTCAGGTCGGATCAAACACTATTTACGCATTCGCTTGTGTTTGCGGTTCCATATGCTTATCTGCGATAGCTGAACAGTCGTGTGAAACGGATTATAAGTTCAACCAGAGATTTCATTAGACCTCGTTTTCACGTCACATAAAGTAAAGGTAGCCACCATTGGATTCCCCTACTGGGTTTTGTACATACCAAGCTGTGGTTTTCTCACTTCATTTATCTCTCTAGTTCCCCCCCCTTCGGTTTTCTTCACTTTCCTTTTTCACCTTTTAGACAAGCTTTTTTACGTGACGGATTTACCTATCGTGTCCTAACTCACACACGCCCCTCACTGAAGGAATTACGCTGTATCTACTGATAAAAGTGATCTTGCAGAACAAAACAGTAGGTGTTTGTTTTAAAGACATGCTACTTCCTCATGCTGTCTCCCATTAAAATACGTCATATTTTCAGTGCTATTCTGGCATTATAAATGTGAGTGAATAAATTAGAACGAATGAAGAAACAAGGTTGTTTTTACCCATAAAGAAAGCAGTACAAGAAGGGTTATTTGAGGGAGAAACCAACATAATAATCAAAATGCGATCCTCCAGGTTTAGCACAATGGATGCAGGGAACTAACAGTTTTCATATCACTGCTCAATCAAACCGTTCACACTCGCGAGTACAAGACAATATCATTGATTAGTAATTACGTCCCCTCGAAGTGCCCATTGTTTCCGCAATGAGAACAGTTGTTCACTAGCAGCAAATAACCAAAACAACGACTAAAATTGATTAGTGCTTCATGGTTGGTAGATCAACACGGTCTCTACGGGTGGAGGTACAGCAATTCACGAGAGACAGAGTACCTCAAAGTTGTTTAATTTGCACATATACCTAAGGCCCGAAGTCTGATGTATGTGGACGAAGTTGGTTTAACCTGTAAAAAAACTCAAAGGTAACCGATGTGTAGGCAAGATTGATGTGAAATGTGTGTTTACCTTCATATTTTCCCGTAGTTCTCCATGAACTGATTTCTTTGTCCACTGTTGTCAAATTAATTTCGGGATGAGCAGTATTCATTGTTATTATAAATCACTGTGATTCAGATCACTGATGCTAATCTGGTGTTTCTTATTAGTGTGCCATTCCTTGAGAATCGGACCGTAACATTTCTGTACTTGGGTTATTTGTTTTTAATAAATTAGCAAAAATCCGTTACTCGCGTCCTTTTTACCTCTGAATGTTTTATTTCATTGTCTTTGCAGTGAATGTCACAATGCCTCTGATCGAATCAAAATACGTGTATGGTACGTTCATTTACCGTTCATAACCATCAGTCTATGACAACTTCTTAAGCGCTAAATATCGTCGTTTCGATTTTCTTCATAACCGCATTGCTTCGATGGCTTGCTCATTCTGAATTCTCAGAGTGCTGAAATCTATCGAGACAGTGAACTTTGGCAAAATCTATGTCGAACACCAGTTGATTTTGGTCTACAAACTTGGTTCTTTTCTAATTTATCATGCTCCCGTTAATCTGACAGCTTAGCAATTTATGTCCAACTTCCGTCTGCAGCATGCTCTTGGAAATTAATATCAACATGTTAGTTTAACATATGTTGGCTTATTTTGTGATAATAAAAACTTAACTTATCCCCTACGGGTTTCTTTTATGTATTCAATCTGAGGAGCCGATTCTGGTTCATTGTTTGTTAAGAAGACCAATTCGCTCGGTAAATTTCATTTGAGAACCGCTAGTCGCTGAACCTCAAACGGAAACGTACTCTATATTAGGTTAGATGTAGTTATTGAGTATTTGAGCAAATTAAGATTGTTGTGTCTTGCAATTGACGTAAAGCAAAACTATTTAAGTCCCATGAAATATCTATCGCGTTCTACGTTGTATCACACTTCTCTGTCCAATACGTTTGCTGGTACACATGCTATTTCTTTGAAGACTCATTAGAAATATATGGCGACGGTAACCTCTTTTATTTTACTATGCGAGCACTTTCTACTGTTCCGTCGATGGTGAGTCCTCTCAACCGAATTTCAGCTCTTTGTCGTCACAGCTTCTTCGTCAAAATCCAGGTTCCTTATGCTTGCTGTTTTTTGTTTCTAATCAAAAATTGTGTCATGTGAGTCTTACTTGAGTTCCGGGAAGCAATTAGGAATTAAGTGTATGGAGTTAAAATGTGTGAGTCTCAGATTTATATGTGAGAACAGATTTGGAACGGGAAGAAGTAGGACATGGCGTTGATTAGAGACGTGCGTTGCACTTGCTCATGTTTTCCGTTTTCGGTGAGCGTTATTATGCTATTTGATAAGTGATGAAGTTTGGGGTTTCGCTATATTATCGCACTATTAATTGCCCAGCCCTCTGAACTAAGATGCGTTCAATCAGGAGAGAGTTTTAGGCAATTCCATGTTTGTAATCTCTGAGGATTCCTTAATACGCAAAATAAAACATGGAATCTGTTCAAGGTTTCCTCCCTTGATGCGGTTGTCACTGATCTGCTTGTTATGGCTGCTAGCGATTTCAAATTGTGTCTACAAAATGATCGCGTTACGGAAAACTCAGAGTAATTAAATGGTCTAAAAGGGGTTTTCTGGTTGTATCAAATTCTGAAATTTCCCGATTCCAAATTTGTTTTGGTTCTTAGACCATGATGCGCATTTTCAGATTTGTTGCTAAATCTGAGTGCGTTATGCTATGTAAAACGTGTGAATTTCGCCACAATGAATAGATTCAACTAAGAAGCCAATGTTGAACTTATTGCGCATCTGTCACAATCATGGTCTCTTTTGTTTACTGTTTTTCGATCAGATTCATCTGGTAAATCATTATCCGAAACCACCGAACGGAATGACTCTGGTTGTAACTAAGAAATCCATCCGTTTTTGCACTCGTGTAAAAATCCATAGAAGGTAGGAGAATACGCAAATAAATCGACAGTACTCGAACTGTTGTTGACAGTTGCTCAGCGCGAAAATGCAGTAATGACTTATTTCCGTGAACTAATCCTCGTGTCATTTTCGAGTTGATACCGAAACAGTTATAAATAATGAATTCTTACAACAATACTCTTGCATACTACGCTTTCCTCCGATCTCTGTCGCTCGGCCATTTCAAAGGGACGAGGATTACGACTTGAAATCGAAAATTCGTCAGAAACTTACCCGTGAATCCGACGACTTCCTCGGCCAAACAATCATTGAAGTGCGCACACTAAGCGGTGAAATGGACGTCTGGTACAATTTGGGTGCGAATCAGTTCTTCCCCTGCGCTATTTGAACCAATTGAGTGACTCATTGTAGGGTTTTGTGCATGATGAGCGATTGGGGGATTTTGAGCGAAAAAATATGCACACTAGCGCCTTTATAACTCCTGAACATAGGCGCATATGCCTTTTTGAATCCAGTATATCAACTCCATGTTGTTGCAATTTAACTCACTATAGTCAAAATATCTGTTAAGCAGTTCTTCTAGTGAGACAAACAGAGGCCTGTCTGAACGTTTATTTGATTTAGTTTGTTGTCCTCAGAATTTGATGTAGTCCGAATATAACAACATTGTGCTTTACCCCGTAGGCAGTATATATAAAAAATTATAATTTTATGTCTGCATACATATATCCTCCCAATTATAGCGCACCCCATTGCATGTTCATTTTTCTAAACACCCAGATCCAAATAAATCGCGAAAAATTCACATCCTCTCAGAAAGGGTTTGATGCTGTTAACTGTTCCCTTGGGTCACAAACAACGGTCCTGATTTTCTAATGGTGGGAATTGTATCATGCATGGTATAAAATCGCCAAACAATTCTATCTTATTATCGCTCGCGATTTTACTATCCAATAATATAAGAAATATTAACATCACTTCGTTAGTCTAGAACGTTCATTCATTTCTCCAGTAAGCCTACTTTTGCTTTTGATCTTTTCACACTTGATATTTACCCTCTCCTTTCCA